TTCAAGAAAATATTAAAATAGATACTGGCTAAACAATTGAATAAAAATTTCTTTATAAATATTGTTTTAATTCTACATTTTCCTTAACACCTAAATCATATAAATTATAATTTGAATTGTGTATATATATATATATATATATATATATATATTTTAAAAGACATATTTTATGTTTAACGTTATTATTTTATAAAATATGTCTTTAATAAATAAATTATCGGACCTTGTCCATTTCTTAATATATGACGTCATTTGTTTACATTCGATACGCCAGAGCAGTTATGAATGTACGAGATTCATGGAAAATTGGAGTTTATAAGCAGTAAATTCGACCTTGTCTACCTAACGCTTTTTGTAGCCTAAGCGGTAAGGCACATCAGCGTATATGACGGTTCCATTATAGGATGCAGGTTCGAATCCTGTCAAAGAACGAATATTTTCTATGAAAATTTCTCGGACATTCAGGCCGGTAAATGTTATTTAATACTGTTTATCATAAACAGAGCATTTGCTTAAATACTTGTATCTATAAAATAACAACGTTAAACATAAAATATGTCTTTAATAAATAAATTGTCGGACCTTGTCCATTTCTTATATATATATATATATATATATATATATTCACTATTTCCTAAGTTAATGGACTACTTCACTATCTTGCCATCAGGCTATAAATATTGACATATGGCAATGATCAGTTTTTAATTTGATGATTGCTATGTGCATGAAATTCCAATTGGCATCAAATATATATATATATATATATATATATATATATATATATATATATATTTTTTTTTTTAACATTCTTCATTATCCTAAATCAAATCATATTTTACATTTAACATTTTCATATGTATAAATCTCATTGAATTTTATTAACTGTTAAATTTTCAAATTAACCACAACATTTCTAAGTAGCAAGATTGCTATGGTAGTGATTTTTCCTGAACTTTTTCAGTTTTTCTGAGGATGTTCTTATTGAATGAAATATTAACAGAATAAAATATTTATACATGAACTGGTTTTCATTTATTCCATCTTAAATATATATCAGGATGATAGAAAAATGAAAAACTTATTAGCAATGTACTTCATTCCAAGAAAGAACTTCTCCAGACAACTATTTTATTAATGGAATCAGTCTTGTATATAGAAATTTCAGAAGAGCTGAGCAATTTAAGACAACAAATGCTGGTTATGGTTTAGGCTGAATGTCTGAATGTTTATGTTCAATGTATCTACATTTAAAACTGTCAATCCTGAAGGTTTTTATCAGTTTTATTTTTTAAATGTCTCATTTACATTTAAATGCTGAGAGTTTCTCTAAGGTTTAAATGTAACCTGTAACTGACATTTGTTCTAGTCTCCCCATCCCCACATTTTCCATTGATAAAAATGTTGTGTGAATCATTCATCATTCCTCCATTTTCCATTTTGTCATTTGTCCAAGAGTATCATTTTATACCAATGTTGTCAATCATAAATGAATATAATGAAAATACTAATCTCCAAGTAGAGTTAAAGAGTTAACACATTCAACAGTTGAGAATAAATTAAACTTTACTAATTGAAATTAGAGTCAAAACAGTGGCGGAATGAGTCAAAAATTCTACCCGAAAAGTCAAAAGGACCCAATTAAACCCAAATGTAGTCAAATGAATCTAATAAAAGCAAAGGTTTTAGGTAAATAATGTTACATCTATTCAATATTGTTTTATGTTAATGTATGCATAATACAAATACTAGAAAATTCTAATAATAAAAATGAAGATCTCAATCATAGAACAACAAGTCAAAGTAATTTACAAAGCAAAATTTGAAATTGTTTTCAAAGTATAATTAAAACTAGAACATGTGCAGAACTGAAATGGGAACTAGTCAAAACTAACCAAACTGACCAAAACAAAATTAAAAAAAAATATCCTTAAAAAAAAGTTTAATCAAACAAGGAACTGAGGATATATCTGTTACCTACCAAAAGAAATTACAGCATCAAAGATTTATTTAAATCTCTCCAGCATCTATACAATATTTTTATTTTTTTGTTTTTTTTTTTGTGGTTATTTCTAAAGTGATGAACCATCACTTTGGGGCCCACCGGGAAATTTCCCAGACTGCCATGGAGTCAAAGTGACTGATAGAAACTTCAGATCTTAATTTGAATAAACAAACACTTGTTATGAAATTTCTATATCATTAAGTTGATGGTAAAATTGTTCATGTACAAAAGAACACAATGAAAGCAAGTCCTGAGAATTGTATTTATATATTTGGAAAGCAACAGCTACAAAAAAAAAAAAAAAAAAAAAAAAATAATTATATAATTAGCATATCAATTATTAATGCAGGGAAGACAAAAAGTTCTTCATTTACAATGAATGTGTGCACACAAACTCAAACAGCTTAATCATCATCTTCATATGATGCTGTCAGTTCTGAGAGTAGAAAAATTACAAAGTGACTATAAATATTTATTTTGTAAGCAAGAGTGTTAGACAAACAAATTTATAATCTTGGTAGAATTTTTTTATGTCTCCCAATACAAGGCCCAAGAGCCACTCAAGGCAGAGAGTTACTGAATAAGTATGAACCTAAGAAAAAGTAAATGCATATTATTAGGATATGTTTTGATGACCCCAGACTTGAGATTAAGACCATAGTGATTGGGGAAGCATCCCCTTTATTCCCAAAAACGTTCAAGGTATATAGTTACTGAATGAGGTTGATGCAAGAAAAAGTAAGAAGTGTATAATATGAGGATATGTAAGATGGATAACAGTTGACTCTAGACTTAAAGCTGTTAAGATCATAGTGAAACCTCTCTATGAAAGGAATCAAAAATAGCTAAAGGAAAATAAATGATACTTATGTAAGCTATTTACCTTAAATGAGCTGATATACAAATGTACTGCTCTAAGAAATTACTTAGAAATCCATCTTTAGTGAGATTCATGGGATTTTCCTACTGAAATCTGTGTTTTGCTTATATGTTTACCTGTGTGTCAGTATTAGTGAAAATGTTCGTTGGTCACAAGCTGTTCATAAGTCACAAATTCTTCAAACACTGAAATAATTCCATAATGTTGCCCACAATAAAATGTTCACTGCAAAGTTTCTGATTTCATGTTTTTTTTTTTTCCATATTACTCATATTTCCCTAAACTTGTTTTCAGAACTACCACTGTATTTACTAAACTGTAGATATATTTTAATGTGTGTATGTATGTCTATGAATTAGTGAAAGATACTTTTCAGAAACTGAATAAAGTACCAAGGCATTGAAAAATCAAATCAGAAATAAAAAAAAGTGAAGAACTCATATATAGCAGTGAAAGTGAGACTTTCATTACAAATGAAAAATATCTTTAAGGAAAAAATCTTTAAGTAACCAAGATGTGATTCTATCCATGAACATTAAAAATACAATGAACAGATTATGTAACAATGAAGAATTTAAGGAGAATAAAAGCTACAAACAATATTAATAATAATCAAAAATAGCATTATAATATATATATATATATATATATATTATAAATTAACAAGAACACCGGATTATATATCTTACTGTTTTCTTTCTTTATATATATATATATATATATATATATATATATATATATATATATATATATATATAGGCAGCAAGTATTCATTCAAACAAATTTGATTAAAAAGAACTGATGAGGTCTGTTTATTATATTTTCCCAATTTTTGAATAAGGTATTGAGTATTGTGCTTGAAGTTGTGGCTGAACTGTTTCAAGTTCATGTCATTTTTTGTTTGAGTATTTTCAATTATTGCAGTCATTATCAAGAACTAATATGGTGTCAGTGTGGTAGTTAAAATTCCATTGTCTGCATCCTGGTATTCTTTGGCAAGCTGCAAGTTTGAAATGGTCTAGCATGCAATTATGTTTAACAGATACTGGGGGGGAATGAAGTCACACATACACACACAAAAAAAAAAAAAAAAAAAAAAATTTTGATACTAATATGATATATGCACACATTAATTATATCATATGCACTTCAAGATACTGTCTCCTGTAGTGAATTATATATAATTAAAAGAAGGTTTGAAGAATTTAGCACTCACAGGATATGCATGTAAACATGCTTTAAGGCAGATAGATGAATTATATATTTATATGAATACAACATATTTTTGTCTTTATTGGCAAATAGATATTTTTTTAATTGCTATATATTGTTTAGATTTTGTAAAGAGCGAGACATACTTTAAAAAGATACTAGGTAGATATCAAATATCAAGATATTCTATCAAATATTTGAAAAGGAATGATTTTCTTTGACAAGATTCAGTTTACTTTTCTAGTAATTTGAAGTGAATTCAAATTCAAAACTAATAAACAATTATTTTAGAGTCAAAAACAAAAGCTAATTCACATGTTGCTAGTTTGAAAAGAAACAACTTTGATTTATGGTCCAATCAGATCCAACTAACCTTTATATAAAGAGCCAAAGTCCAGCTATTTAGTTAGTTTTTCTCCATGTCATGTGTACTGCACACACAAGCCATTCAGTGAAACAGAGTCAACTATCCACTTTAAAACCTATGCATGTATACAAGCACAGCATTTATGAGACTGCCTTTCTCCAGAAATTGACTAATTTATTATTCAATAAGAAATATCCACTTCATAACATCTTCAAACATGTTGCATCATGTGTTAAAAATAATTATCAAAAGGTTATATTTTTGTTTAATAGTAGACAATTTATCTGGAGTCAAAATTAAGCTATTGTCAACTGCCACACGCACTTTTGCAAACAACATATTCTTCATACTATATGACAAAAGAATAATGAAATCAGTGATGTAAATTTACTCAGAAATTATTCAACAAGGTTTTTTTAAACTGTATATCAAATCAATCTTGTACATGTTATCTTAAGCAAGACCATAAAGTCCTATATTTTCCATCTTTAAGAGTTTGTCGAACAAAAATAATGTTCCATCTTTTTTTATTTCAGGATTTTGATCTGCAATTACAGTATGAGATTTTTCTTGTGAGAATATTTTCATATATTTTGTTCTCATTCCATTTCTGAGGTGTCAGCTTCAAGCAGTTAAGCTGAAAGGTAAGATATTTTTTCCTTTTAAATTGGTGGCTATCTTCATAGAAATATTTAATAAAAAAACCAATCATCAATTGCATGACCAGGTATGGCTGTAGGATTGCTGTTCAGCTAAGCACCTGACCAGTTCCCTTCACATATATGGGTTGAAAACCAGATATGTATTAATTCATGTATAGCTGGTCTTGGACAAATAAACCAAGCAGAGATCATCCCTCTCCAGGTCAAGCTACAGCTGATGTATCCATGACCAATGTATTCATCCCTATTGATTTGATTGATAGAACACTTCACACAGTGATGCTGGCTGCATACATATCTATAGAGCTCAGCCTACCCCATTGTGCAAGATGGCCATTGACCCCTACAAGAAGGTTCATCCACCTTTTGAGAGGTGTTGTTCTTAATACTTTTGGGTTTCTAGCCACCCTCCTTACCAGGAAAGCAACCTAACCATGCAACAGGTGGTACTGGCTTACACAGTACCATTCATGGAGTGACCATAAAAATGACAAAAGTAATATAAACCTGTCATCATTGCAAATTCATAATATAGATGCTCTAATTAACAAAAATCTAAATTCTTTAAACCATTAAGTGCTGAAATTTGAGAGATTTTTTATTAAAAAGCAACCATTAAGTGCTGAAATTTGAGAGATTTTTTTGTTCAATAGAAACTACTTCAAAAGTATTTTTTTTCACAATAAACATCGACATGCACATTTTTTCTTTCTTTCTCATGTGTACTTATATTGTTTGTGCCCAATTTTTCTGCTTTGTCAGCTCAAAAGTCAGGAACATTGTTATATTTTTTTTAATAAGATTGAATTTAAGAAAACTAGCCAACTGATTTTCAAGAGAATATACTCCATTCTTAGTTTGGATATAACATTAACAGATTCAAAATTACCCACATTAATATTACTACAACCATTTTTGATGATAAACTATTTGATCATTCCAACTTTCCTGTATTTAAAGTTGATTTGTCCCTCAGTTTCAAATATATTTCAAAGTATTCAAATGTAAAAAAGGTGTATAAGCTAAATTGTTTCAAATGAGGATTGTCCTTACTTTTCTTGAATTCTAGTTATGAAAATGGATTCTTTTACAGAGTAATATTTATTTTAAATTATGATATCCAGTTTGTTACTGGGGTCCAGTTTGTAGCAGTGTTGTCTCATTTAGTGAATTAGAATATTTTCTTGTGTCGAATCATGATAGATAGTTTTGAAGATATATTATTGTGGTCGCATAAGGTTTCTTTGAACAGGAAATACTATAGTGCATTGTATGTGATGCAGCTCACCTGGGTATTAAGAAACCCTCTGAAGGAAGAAAAATAAAAAGATATCTTGTCACTGCATCATATTGTGATTGAAGAGAAAAAGAGTTCATGCCCTTTCCTTTTATACAAGGCCACCTAGCAGGCATTGAGCAAAGTCACTTAGCAGACCAGGTAGAGTAATCACAAGTGTTTTATATAAAGAAAAGAAAAAGATAAATTTTTGTAACATTTTCTTGTAAACTGTGCATTTCTTAATGTCTTTCAGTCATATCAAATCCATTGAAGTACAAAGCCCTTATCTAATCCTTTTATGACAACTATCACTGTACCATTCTCTACCTTGTGTAACAAACAGTTGTGTATATGTGGTTTAGTATATTTATACAGTTAACATATGTACAGCATTAGTCAGCTATGTTGGTTTCTACGACTAACTCCTAGAAATCTCATGAATCAGATTCTAATTAGAATCTGATTCATGAGACTTTTCCCTAGAAAATTTCATTGTTACAAGGCCTATTGACATTACACCATGTCTTGCCAGTAAACTCTTCTATTCCATCTCTTTATCTGCTGTCTGGCCTTTTTCTAATGTACTAACTAACCATTGGGCACCAGTGAAGCAACCTTTTGAACCTCCACATTTTTTAACAAGGTTTCTAATCCACGTTTATTTTTGTAGTTTAATCACCTCTGTTATATCTCTTATCTTGATCTGCTCTTTAATCCACAATGATTGCTTTTTATCTTGATTTATCACTGGAATTGTTCTGTCCATTGATTTTTGTGAATTTCTAAGTTTGCTTTTAAGCTATCTTGTTAATATCCATATTTGGTACCTGTATGTCAAAGAGATTCCTAAAAGCCACTTTTGTTAGAAAAAACAGTGTACTCAGTAAAGAAAGCAAATTCAGAAAGAAATTTATTTACCTGTCATGATTCATGTACAAACTGAACAATCATTATAGATGTTCAAAATGTTTGCCTGAATGTTCAACACAAAGTTGTAAGGGTGATAACCAGGAGGAAGTAGCTTTATTCAAGGTCATGATTCCTGAAAGATAAAACAGTGATAATAAATTTGCCACCCTGTAGATTAGACCAAGTTACCTGACTTTATAAGTTTTATTTCTTAGTTTCAGAATCAATGTATGCATATTTTAAGACATTTGTAAGTAATGAATATTTGTTTAGTATGAATCTGAATTTATTAAATGATTTATTTTTAATTACTAATACTGTACCAAACCAAAAAACTGGTAAATATATTAATAATTATAATTTCTAATTAGAACTAGTGAGTAACAATAACAAGCACAAAATTTCAGTAAATTTTTGACACATTGTATGAGCAAATCATCCCCAAAGAACTGAAATTTTATGATTATGAATTTGCAATGAAATTTTATAAGATTTAACAAAAATATTTTTTGTACAAATTAATTATAATTCTTATTCAAGCATCAAAGCTGAATAAACATTTTGGGTTTGTGATAGAAAATGGAAGGAAAAAAAAAAAAAAAAAAAAAAAAGAAATTGTCCAATATTTTTTCTCTTTCAGATTTACAAATACTGTCACATGATTCTTGTAACTGAAGTGGCTTAGGAGTGAATTCTACCACCAACACTGCCGATCACGATGACATGCATCCAGGGTTCTGACATGCACTTTTATCTCTTCACAAAAGAGTAGTGTATGTAAAAGAATAAGCAACTAAGCATCCACCAATGAGAATCACGTCTTAACATTTTCATAAAACTAAATTTGTTTCTTTGTTTTGTTATATTGTTTAAAAGGAAAAAAAAAGCTGGGAGTTATCTGCAATATTTTTTACTTAACATCTCTCAGGTGGGTGTGAAAATACTGACACCTTGATTATAACCCCAAAAAGAAACAAAAATATACAAACAAACAAAAAATAAAAAAAAGCTAATGTAAAATATTTACTGAATGAAACAAAACTTGATAAGAGAACCATGTGATTAAAAAAAAAAAAAGAAAAAAATTAAATTTTTGATGTGAAAACTTTTTTATTTAAAATGCTGTATTCCTCATGAAATATTTTCTTTTTATGTCTTTCATTTTATTCCAAATTCAAAAAAAAAAAAAAAAAAAAAAAAATTCCTCATTTTTATATTTCTTAAAGATTTTATTTTATGCAAATATTCAGCATGTTTCTTTTACAAACCTCTCCCCTTAGTGTATTCATCACATCAGCTTAATTGATAATTTCAGTTTTCTTTAAATTTCTCACTGATTGATAATATTAATTTTAAATCTTTACAAAAAAAACCCAAAAGGATCAACTTCAGGTTTGAGATTTACAACAAAAGGAACAATGTATTTGCTCCAGTTGAAGGCTCTGCTTTAAAAATTCAACTGCAAAATTTCTGAAAGGAGATGATGTTATTGTATAATACTATGCTGAAAATGAAACATTCATTTCATATTATTGCAGAAATTAAAAATCTTTCAAACAAAAAATATCTACTTGGAGGTAGAAATCACTATTTTTATGGTAAGACTGAATGCCATAAAAATATATGTCTTTGCGAGTATGTTTAGAAAAATGTCACTTGATAGCATATGGATAAAAATAGCTGAGGAAAAAAAAAAAAAAGCTCATTTCTTAATTTAACCAACCTCCTGATATTTCTTTTAAATATGTATATCCTGGCAATACATATTCTTCACTGGTTCTGTTGGTTATTTCCACAATTTGTTATTGACTGATATGATTGTGAGTATTATCTTTTCATATTCTTCCCATGTGACTCATTTTCAGGGAACAATGTTTATCTTCAATTAATGCAGAAATTATGAAGGTGAAACATTCATTGATTCCACTATTGTAACTTTAGGATTCACTTTTGGGAAGTAAAGGAACAAAAAAAAAAAAAAAAAAAATGGTGAATTTCAAATGTTAAAATGAAGCAAATTTTGAAAATGCCTTTAAAAGTCAATTTTGTATGCTGCTTGTTCAAATACATACAGACATAAAAATAATCATTTTTTTTTTTTTTTTCTAAAATGAGTGAAATATTAAGAACTGAAATGCAGGCAAAATACTCCATGTAACTAATAATATTGCTCCATATTCAACAAGAAAAAGAAAAAAAAAAAAAAAAAAAAAAGGTGCTATCATATAAAATATTATGGGTCCAACCCAACTGTTTAACCACTGGTGCCCAGAGAGGTGATTATTCCTGAAATTAAGGAATGCTTCAGGGCTGATAAAGAATTCATCAATGCATACAGAACTCAAATGAAATGGTATTAAACAATACTCCACATGAACTAAAATGTGCAGGAATAATAATAATAATACATAAGCAAAATGAAGAGATCTTGTGATTAATGAAAAATTGAAAGTGAAAATGAAGTGATATCTATGTCAAAATTTATATAAAGAAACTCCAATTCACGCAAACAAATTGGTAAAGTTATTTGACTACAAGAGAAGAAAGGTGGTGTGGAGCTGTACCACAAAGGCTGGAAGATTATGTCAAAGTTCAAAAACAGAATTGTAGAAATTACTGGGAAAGAACACCCTGGCTATGAAGACTGTGGGTTAAACTCAAAATCAGCAAAAAAAACAATTTGATTTCTTTAAAGAATTGACAGATAATATTTTGAATCAGTCGTGTTCAAGATTATATGTGTCCTATATACCTGTGTATGTCAAAATAAAGTCAAAGCAACGCTGGGATTTGCTTGATTATCCAATACTTTATGGGCCTTGAAACTATAAGAAAAAAAAAAAAAAAATATATATCTTAAGGAAATCTGGAAAAAAAAAAATGATCGTATATGTCCATCCCAAAATTGTCATGGACAGAAATTCAAGCAAAATATGCAATTGAAAATAAAAATAAAGCAGTTAAAAATAAACATTAAAAAAAAAAAAATAAAAAAAAAAAAAATGTAATCCTGTGAAATTTGTCTTCATTGGTAAATTTTGAATTTTTCTAATCCTGCAGTTAAATTTACAATTCTTAAAATATGTCTGTAATGAAACAAACTTTCTGTGTCATTTAAAAAATAAGATGGTGGGTTGATTGAAAATAAAATGGTTTTGTTTATAAGAGATAGTTACAGATTTGATTTTTGAAAGTTACATCAATTTAATTTGGCTTTATATATATATATATATATATATATATATATATATATATATATATATATATATATATATATATATATATAGGAGTTTTGTTTCTAAAATTAATTTTTAGTGTTTGCTTAAATTACAAAAAAAAGCTAGTATTCAAGATGGATGAATCCAGTATCTTAAAATTATTTTTTAATAAAAGAATGACATTAATTTAAAAACAAAAAAAGACAAACTTGGAAAATAGTGATATTCTAATGTCTACGAATTTCTTATGTTTGAACTTAAACAACATCTCAGATTACAAAAATGATTAAATACAAAAATAAGGCTACTTCTAGCTTGTAAAGATATATATATATATATATATATATATATATATATATATAATCTTGACAATTCATAACTATTTTCTTAATTCATGCAAAAAACAAAAGCTTCAAATAGTATCATTATTTTAATTAGATTGAAAAATTAACAAAATTCCATTAAATCTTGTAGTTTATATGAATTTGTATTGAACACATGTATCAGTTAAAATAAAGAAAATATTTAGACTATAATCATTAAAAGATATCATCATTATACTGAGAAAGTATTGGTTTTCAGAGGATTTAACTAAAGGCAAATTATTCGTGAGATTTTATCTTGTACTTGGGTTACTTACAATATATATAGATTGAATATAATCTGCTTCAGAATAGCATGTGTTTGTCCCTTTCATATCATGCTAATACTATTGTGTGTATAAACTTTGTTTTCTCCCCCCGCCTCTTTCTTGATATCTGGTTGTGTGTTACTGTGCATATTGTTGAGATTGTATATAAATTTATCTAATCAAATATGAACATATCTAAATGTCTGTAAGCTACAAACAAATCATTTGTGTCTATATAAAGTATTTAAATACAGGAAATAAATAATATACATTCAGTTAAAATTGAAGTTTAAAATTCAAAATGTTGCAGAGTTAAACACCTGATTTTCTGCAGGGGGGGTATTTTAAAAAAAAATCATTTCCCCAAAGCAAGGCAATAAAAGCCACAAAGATGCAAGGGGTTACCAAGAGTGAAAGAAACACAGAGGATATTAAAATAACAGGATTCAAGGAGAAAAAAAAAAATGATTAACAATGCATTTAAATTTTTGAAGATTGCAGTTGACAGAAAGCCAGAAGAGAGTTCCACAAGTGAGAAGAATAGCATAGAACTTACAGTTACAACTAGCAATTTCAGCAGTGAAATGAGACAGCTGCTAATCTGGTACTGTGAAAGAAAGTTCATCAGAACAATTACCATGAAAATATTTATAGAAACGGTAAAGGGAAGTTATATTACAGTGGTGGGAAAGTAACTGAAACCAAGATGACAGGTCAGGACCAATAATATTGCAGATTCTTCAAATTTTGTCAAGAATCTCTACATATAAAACAGAAGTACCAGACCAAATGTGGCAGCAATATACGATGCACAAATGCTTAGTAGACTTTTGTTTACTTGATCTCTTTAATGAAATGCAAGGCAGACAAGATTATAAAAATTTAATACATTGAGTTTGAAAGTTTTTTTGGCTGAATGCTTGCAACTTCAACGCAATTCAAATGATCCATTTCTTCACTTAATGAAGTTTGAAGAATTACTGATTGAAATGTGATGTTTAACTTATTCTATGCGCTCTTTAACTAAAATTGTTTCATTCTTTAGAGCAAGAAAACAGTAAATATTAGTCTAAGCTTTTGAAGTAAAATAATGATGTATCTCAAAATTTCATACAAGCTTTGACTTCTAAGCGTCTGACAAAAATAACAGCCGCCAAGTTTATAACCATGCAAATCAGTTTTTGTGCAATTTTGGTCATGCCTGAGATGCATGTGTGTGTTTGTGTATACAGCTTTCAAAAGAATATATATATATATATATATATACACACACACACACACACACACAATTTCATATATGCTTATAGGATGTGAGATTAGCTTGATTGTTATTGGTGTGGAAAGAGGAATTAACAAGCCAAGTTCAAAATTCTTGTCTAGTCTGTTGCATTCACTGTTACACAAATGCTTTTGGGAAAGGCATGGATCAATCTCTCCCCAGCTATGGGTTAAATAGCAGGGTAGGCTCTAGCCTTGGGTGGTAACCAGCCTTAGAAGAATAACTGAATACAAAACCACAAAGAAGGCAATGAAAAACCACTATACTTTCTTAAGTCATGGAAATTCACAAATTAAAAAAAAAAAAAAAATTGTGTAGAGCCATGACTGCTATGTCTATTAATGACATACATATTCATGTTTTTAAATGTACTCAGTATTATGCCTACCTGTCTTTGTCAATACAGTTGTATACATAGACATACCTGCATTGAAATATGGGGGTATGTATATATTTCCACTGAAAAATTTATTTACATGTAAGCAACAACTGAATGCATGCATGCACAAAGTATATTTGTGCATGTATATGTTTACATATTTGCGGG